TTAAGGGTGCCCTATGATACAAGGAAGCCAAAAAAAAAAAAAAAAAAAAAAAAAAACCCCAGGGTCTCTGCCAATCTGACCTAGGGAAACAGAGGATCAGTTAGACTCTGAGTGTGTGGATGCAACCCACCAGCCAGACACCTGGGAAAGAATTCTTTATAGTAACTCAACGCCCTCCCCAGTGTCCCAATTCTGGATGTTGGAAATATTTACTAATCTCTTACCTCAATCCCCACTGACACCAACACTCACCTCAAAGTCCCCCAACTGATACCAACTCTTACTTCAGTCCAAGCCCCACTATTGATACCTCTTACCTTAGAGCAACCCTGCGATTAATACCAACCCTCACCTCAGTGCAATCCTCCCGATACCAACACTCAAATCAAAGGGCACCAGTTCTCACCTCAACACAATCCCTTTGATTGATTCTAACTCTCACCTCAGTGCAACCCCCAGCTGACACCAACTCTCACCTCAGAGTAACCCCCCAATTTATACCAACATTCACATCAGAGGGCACAGACTGATACCATCTCTCACCTCAGCACCATCACCTTGATTGATTCAAACTATCACATCAGTCCAATTCCCCCACACCTCAATCGATACCAACTCTAACCTCAGAGCCACCCCCTGATTGATAGCAACTGTCACCTGAGAGAAATGCCAGGATTTATACCAACTCTGACCTTGGAGCAACTTCCCGATTAATACCAACTCTCAACTCAGAGAAATCTCTCTCATTTATCCCACCCCGCATTTGACATTAACTCTCATCTTAAGAGAACCTCCCCCACACTGATACTAACTCTGACCTCAGAGCAGCCCTTCTGATTTACACCACCTCTCACCTTACAGCAGGCCCCTGATTGACACCAACTTTCATTTCAGAGCAACCCTCCGACTGATATTAACTCTCATCTCAGAAAAACCACACCAGATTGATACCAACTCTCATCCCAGCACAACCCCCAATGATTCAAACTCTCACCTCATTGCAACCCCCTTGATTGACACCAGTTCTCCCCACAGTTGACAGGAACTCTGATCACTGAGCAACCTCTATAATTGATACCAACTATTACCTCAGAGAACACACACCCAGCTGACATCAACTATCACACCAGAGTAACACACAATCCCAATTGGTACCAACTCTCACCTCAGATTAACCCCAACTGACACCAACTCTCAGCTCAGAGCAATCCCCGGATCATTAAAACTATCACCTCAGCACAACCTCCCACCAATACAAAAAATCTCACAGCAAAGTGCCCCCCGCATTGATACCACCTCTCACGTCAATACAACCCCCTTGATTGATACCAACTTTCCCCTCAACACAACCTCCAATCAATATCAGCTCTTACCACAGAGCAATCTCCTGAATGATACCAATTCACAATTCAGAGCAACCCCCTGCAATTTATACCAACTCCTTCCTCAGAGCAACCCCCTGATTGTCACCAACTCTCACCTCAGCGCAACCTCGTCCCCACTGATTCCAACTCTGATCTCAGTGTAACCCCAGCCACTGATACCAATTCTTACTTCAGCGTGCTCCTCCAGATTGATAACACCTGTCACCTAAGCACAACACCCTCATTCATACCAAATCTGACCTCATTGCAACCCCCACTCCGATCTATACCAGCCAGGGCCGGCTCCAGGCACCAGCTTGGCAAGCAGGTGCTTGGGGCGGCTGCTTGGGAGAGGGGCAGCACATCCAGCTATTCGGCAGCAATTCGGCGGACGGTCCCTCACTCCCACTGGGAGCGAAGGACCTTCTGCCGAATTGTCACAGCAGATCGCGATCGCGGTCTTTTTTTTTTTTTTTTGGCTGCTTGGGGCGGCCAAAACCCTGGAGCCGGCCCTGATACCAGCTCTCACCTCAGAATACCCGCCCTGATTGACACCAATTCTCAATTTAGCGCAACTCTGCCACCGACACATAGGCCTTGTCTACACTACTAAGTTATGTCATCAAAACTGCTGTTTGTCGACTCAAACAGTGAATGTGTACACTGCAAGGCGACACTTGGGGGGGGAAATGCCTGGTTTTGGTGATAAAATACATCCACCCTCACAAGAAATTTACGTCTTTTTCCTCTACAATTTTGTTGACAAAGTGCAAGTGTAGACACCACCCTTCGTTTCATCGCTTTAATTGGCCTCCAGGAGGTGTTCCACAATGCCCATCCTGACTGCTCTGGTCAGCAGTTTGAACTCCACTGCCCTGCAGCCAGATAAATAACCATCCGCCCCTTCCCCTTAGAAGCCCTGGGAATTTTTGAAATTCCATTTCCTGTTTGCTCAGCGTGGAGAGGTCGCACCACATCTTCCCAGGTGACCATGGTGGGTTATTGCAGCAAACGCTTGGACCACTGCAGAGCTGTTGGATCTGCTCCGTATATGGGGAGAGGAGGCTATGCAGTCCCAGCTGCACTTGAGCTGTAGGAATTAGGATACCTACGGGCAGATTTCTTGAGGCTTGTGTGAAAAGTGCTATGATTGGGACATGCTGCAGTGCAGAGCGAAGATAAAGGAGCTGAGGCAGGCGTACCATAAGGCGAGGGAGGCAAACCATCGCTCAGGTGCTTCACCTAAGACCTGCTGGTTCTATAAGGAGCTGGATGCTATCCTTGGTGGCGACCCCACCTCGATCGCCAACAGCTCCGTGGATACTTCGGAGGGCACGGAGGCGGCGGAAAGAGACCTACCCCAGAGAATGAAGTTATTGATGAAGAGGTGGAGTTAAATGAGGATGTGCAGCTCCCGGCAGGGTCGCCCGGTGCGGCAGGCAGCCAGGAACTGTTCTCCACTCCAGAGGTTTCTAGCCAGTCTCAGCAGTTGCTCTCCAGCAAGCAAGAAGCAGGAGCTGAGACTCCTGGTAAGTGGTTGTGGCTTGTGTAGTGTGGAGGTGGGTTCATAGAAGAAATGTGGGAGGCTGGCTGTGTTTCTGTGAACTGGACATTACCCTGTGTAGCTAATCAGTACAGTGGAACAAGATGCTGATGCACGCTGAGATCTCACGGGAATCCTCCAGAGAGATCTTCAGAAAAGTTTCCTGGAGGTACTCAGTAATCCACTGCCAAAGGTTCTGTGGCAGAGCAACTTTGTTCCTTCCCCCATTGTAGGAAACTTTCCAGGGCCATTCAGCAATCACTTGTGCAGGAACCAAAGTGGCACACAGGCAAGCAGCATAGGGAGCAGGGCAGAAGCCACAAGCATGGAGTAGATGTGCCCTCGTTTCCCTGCTTATCCTTAGCAGTGAGATATCTGCTAGAATTACACCTGCCTGTGGAAAAGTGTGGGAGAATTTTAGAATTTGTTCCCTAGAATGCTGCACCACAACCCTTGCAAAAAGTGTGTGCTCTTTTCCCCATGTGGAGCACCCCATCCTCCCCCTCCCCCTGCCAACACTCACCATGCTTTGGGTGTTTGCAGAGATATGTGCCTGGCTAGGGTCAGTGAGAAAGTGATGGCAATGTTGCAAAAGGTGTATTTAACAGAAATGTTTCAATGCTATGTGTGAATTTAACAATCCCGCTTCTGTGCATTGTCCCCTGTGCTTCACCAGATGTGGCCTTCAAGGAACACCCCACACATCTCGGCTGAGCGTCTCCACCAGATAAGAATGCACCCAAGACACAGCAAAGAAGACATATTCTGTGAGGTCCTGCAGTGCTCCAATGCAGAAAAAAGCTGAACAACAGGACAGAAAAGAGAATCACGCATTTGTTAAGGACACTACTGAGCGGATGATTAAAGTAATGGAGGAGCAAACACAGATGCTGAAGTCCTTAATAATGTGGACTGAGCAGATTAGTGCTCAACCCCCACTGCAGCACATTCAGA